CCCTTTTGATCGAGGGTACATCTTTTATGTTGGTTGAACTATGTTCATATTGGCATAAACTTTAAGTATTGGTTAGAGTACGAGTACGAGATTCAAATCACTACCCTTCTGATCAAAGGTACACATTTTATGTCTGTTGACCTATGTTCATATTGACAGGAGTTTAAATATTTATCTTCGTTGATAATACGGACAAGTAATGGTTCCCAAAAAAAACATTTGAGAATAAAATATATTATTTATTAAAAAATATATACATAGCATATAAAGCTTAGAGGGTTACAATCCAATTATGTAAATAACAAACTTGATGTTTTTTTTCCTATTTTTGCATAACTTTCCAAAAAAGCAAACCCTTAACCCCCAAGCAACCAAATTAGTCTAATGAATAAACTATAACCCTTTAATAAAATAACAAAATATGTGATTAATTAGTTTATTTTCTTTTATTTATTTATTTATTATTGAAAACCCAATTAGGGAAGAAAAAACCAAAAAAAAAAAAAAAAATTCGACCTAAATCGCTAATATACCATATAAATTTATCATCCCACGTTGAGTGGGAGATGAGAACTAATCATTCTTTTATAAAGGCGTGTAAATCTCTCCTTAACATGCTCTGACAACCATACATAACAAAGTCAAAACAAACAATATATTGACAATCCTGACAATATATCCTTAACATGCTCTAAGAAGCATACATAATAAGTCAAAACAGACAATATCTGATAGAGCGGTGAACTTGAGAGCCGATAGAATAAAAAAAATGTTACAAAATTAGTAATATTATATTAAAAAAATAAATTATAACATTAAAGAAAAACCAAAAAAGAAAGAGAGAGGAATATTCAAATGTTGCAGTTAGAGAACACCCATTTGCCCACTTGGAAATATGGGAATTCTACACAGAACATACCCACTGTGCTATATTATATTTTTAGAGTTTAAAAAATAAAAAAATAATTTTTAAAATTTTTAAAAAATAAAAAATAAAAAAATAATTAGTTTAGTAGCTATAGAGTAGTAAAGATAGGGTTTGGCAGGCAAAAGAAAATGGTCAAAAGAGAAAGATAAAAGAAAATAATTGAATTTAAAAAATAATAAAACAATAAATAAATAAATAAATAAATAAAAAGAACACAAGTGTGTGTGGGGAATCCTGGTGTCAGATATTTAATCATATTGGCCTTCATCTAAAGCTCCCCTTTACTTGGTTTTGTGCCAAGCTGATCAATTTCTTTGTCCCCCTTCTGTTTGTTGTTTGTACCCAAAATGTCTCTCAAGGTTAGATTCTACTCTAACCCTCCCCCCATTATATACTCTTCCCAAATCTCCACTCCTTTTCATGCCATCCCCAACCCCATCTCCATCCAACACCGTCCCGTCTCACAGTGTAACGTCTCGACAACGACTCGTAAATTCTTATGTCCGTCTAGTCCTTGAGCTTCAAAGTACAGTACTGGTTGATTATCTATCGTCTTGAATCAAACCTTTGACTTTTTGGTCAAAAGGTACGAAATGGTTAATCAGTGTATAGCTTATACCACTAGAATTAAACCCTATATGTACTTGCGTTTTTTTAAGTTTCTAGGATCGATAGGGTGGATCCATATCCTCAGGAGGTGAGACGAGGTGAATTAAATAGTTTTAATAATAATAATAATAATTAAAAAGGAAAAAGGGAATTGAGAGATTTGAAAAACCCTAGAGGAGAGGAGAGGAGAGGGGGAAGGGAAAGGAACAGAAAAGGAGGAGCAGAGCAAACTGTACCTTATTATTCTCTTTTTCTTTCACATTTTATAAAAGAACGTGAAATTACAGCTTTCCCCTTATGCAACCCTAGACATCATTATTACCCTCTCTTCCTTCCTTCCTTCCTTCCCCTCCTTATTTTAATTCATTTTTTTGTTTTATTAATAATAATAACAATAATAAAACTCGTTTTTAATTTAATTTATTGTATAATTGCATATTATTTATTTTAAACGTTCATTAATTATTTTATGTCGAAATATTTTTAAAAAATTACATGTGGATAATGAAATGTTAATTAATATTTATTTATTTATTTATCTATTTTCGTGATCTGTTTGAGGAATTGTCCCGTCAAGCTCTGTTTCAGTCAAATTTTTGTTTGAAAAAAGTGATGGTTGGATGTCACTCTTTATGGAACATTTTCTTTTCTTTTCTTTTCTTTTATTTATTTATTTATAAATTCCTTTTATGTTTTTTTTTTTTTATTTCGTTTGTGGGGTCACTTAATCTGGGCCTAATATTCACATTTTTCATGGTCCAATGGGCTCATTCGTATGGGCTTCTTGTCTGTTTATGGGCCTTTGGCCCAATGGATTGTAAGGATCTTTTGGGCTCACTACTGCTACTGACTTTGGGTAATCAGATTGGGCCAAGTCCACTAGTGACTTACAGGCTTGAAGGTCAATATCAAGTTAAGGAACACATTCAGAGAGAAGAAGCCCTCAAGTTCAGATTCAGTGGGCGGAAATTTAATACAATTAGTATGATTTAGTGCAAAATTCAAGGCGAAATTGATCTGGGGATGATAATGTCGCCAATGTTGTTGTGCCATGGGTCAGCCAAGTGAGTAGCCAAGTTCTCCAATGGCCCTGTTCCTGGGTATGCCGTTTGTTGCACACAGATTCCAACGAAAGCTAACAGCGCCAACCGACCTACAAGCCAGAAGCAATTAGATCAAATGTTCAGTAATCAATTTTCATGTTTGATTATGTTTGATTCGGTTAAATTGACACTGAATTCAAGAACAGGAAGAAAATGAGATTATATGGGTTCATAAACACAATACTTCCAGCTCTGACGCCACTTAAATCACTATGAAGCTCAAGAGTTTGAATTAGTGGGTTACGTAGATTCAGTTACGAGGAGGTTGGTGTAACGGCCCAACCCACCTCTAGCAGATATTGTTTTCTTTGAATTTTTCCTTTCGGACTCCCCTCAAGTTTTTTAAACTCACCTAATAGAGAGAGGTTTCCACAATCTTATAAAGAATGTTCCGTTCTCTTCTCTTATCGACGTGGGATCTCACAATCCACCCCCTTCGAGGTTCAGCATCTTCGCTGACACTTGTTCCCTTCTCCACTTGATGTGAGACACCCCCAAATCCACCCCCTTCAAGGTCCAACGTCCTTGCTAACACAATGCCTCATGTCCACTCTTTAAGGGCTCAACGTCTTCACTGGCACATCCCCCGGTGTCTAGCTCTAATACCATTTGTAACAGTCCAAGCCTAAACCCACACTGGCACATTCATTTTCAGGCTTCCTCTTAAGGTTTTTAAAATGCGTCTGCTATGGAGAGGTTTTCTCTCCCTTATAAACAATATTTCGTTCTCTTTTACAACTAAACCAAACCGACGTGGTTTGGATGATGGAAAAGTGGTTTGAACAGTTCTAGAAAGCACTCAAAACTGAACCTTCTCTAATTGGCATTGAATCTAAGCAGAGTTGTGCAAAGAAATGAGGGCCCTTACCGTTTTTGATCTCTTTGACTTTGTATTCCTTCAGCTTTACAGGGTCTTTTGAGTAGCCCAATGGGTCGAAAGCACCTCCAGGGTACTTCTTCTTCTCGGTGTCTTTCTCCATGCTGCGCTGGTGCTCTACGAAGGCAATGGCAAGGAACTCAATGACCAAAATGGTGGGCAAAGTTCCCCATGGAACTGGCTGCCCCAAGTAGGTAGCTTGGCCTCCTGGAACTGCTGCCCATTCCTGAGCTTTCACCCAGTTGCCCAATCCCAAAGCCTCAGGTACCAAAATCCCTGGCTGAAAAAACAAAGAGAGTAAGAATTAAAGAAAAGCCCCCATCATCTCAGAATCAAGCAACTGATTTTTGAAGACTTACAACAGCAAGCATGGCCCATCTGCAGTGAATTAGCTCAGACTCCTTGAATCTCTCGAGGTTCTCTGGCACTTCTCCCAGACGAAGAGGATCGAAGCCAAAATCACTGTTTAACATAACCACACATCTTATACATTAACACAAGACCATCATTGAGCAATATATTTTAGTTCATACTAATAGAGGCTACTCAACTCAACTCAAAATTACAAAATTAAGGCTCAGATAAAGAAGGGTCCTAATTCTTATAGCTTTTCATGGGTTTTCACTTTCTTAAAGAAGGGTCCTAATTCTTATAGTTTTTGAAAAAAACAAAAAACCAAGTAGTTACAAAAGGTACATAGAAGGACAGATCAAAGCACCCAAAAAGACAATCAGGATTCTCATAGACATTTCATCAAACACCTAGAGAGCAACAATCCAAATTTCAAAGCATTTCAAATTTCAATACCCGGGGGCTGAGCCGTCAAGGTACGGGGGGCGGGGCTGGCCGGGCATCCACTCGGCGGACATGGAAAACCGGGATGACGCATTGACGGCGACGCCAGAAATCGGGACACCGGTGGCGAATTTAGACTTAGAGGAGGAAAGAACTGAAGGGAAAGCGGTGGTGGCGATGCCGCAGCTCATCAAGGTGTTGGAAGCCATTGAAGAACACGGGCAAAGACGACGAGAGTGGAATGGAGGAAGAAGAAGGGGGAGAAGGGGGACTAAAAGCACAGGCAGTAGAGAAGATTGGGAAATCTAAAGCTCGGTGTTCATTGGCTAAGAGTGGGTTGGTTTTGTGATCTCATTGAGCCAGCTGGAATTTGTCAATCCATTTTATTTGCTGACGTGGAATTTCCAGCTGGATTGGGATCTTGGAATCGTGTGGTGGAGACTGTTCCACGTAGAAATGTCAGTGAAAAATGCATATATTATATAAAAAAATGGGAATGCGTTTTCTTAACCCTATTTTTGCAAATATAAAGAGATGAAGGGGTAATTTGCAAATTTACATTTTCTTAGGAATCAAGCAAAAGCGTTGGGCTTCAGGAGGGGTGTTTTCGGCAATGAAGATCAAAGGTAAAATCAGAAGTAATCATGATGTGGGTCATCTACATGGTGTGTAGCGTTGTACACTACACCTCACCACACCCAATAACCCACATCTCTACGTTTCGCCCCACTCTCTCTTTAACCCAGAAGTCTCAGGCGAAGCAAAACAATCCATTTTGATCCCGTAACTCAGATCACCGTCATCCACTGTCCACCGTCTCCGCCCATGAGTACTCCAGCAGTTCCGGGGGTAAGCTCTGATACAATTGTTTGCTTTTAATCTCTTCTTAAATGGTGGTCTATTAGTCGCATTCAGATCTCGTAGTTCGTCTTTTTTTATCTTCTAATGTGCATGCCAGATCTTGACATTGCCTCGAAATTCAGCGACGTTCTATTGATTTTTTTTTTTCTTGTTTTGTTTTGTATTTGGACAGAGCTCTGGTTTGTTTACTGGATTCACCAAGCTATGCAAGGGCTTAGCCGTCGTGCTAATTGGCGGGCATATCTTGGTTCAGGTTTTTCCTGCGGCTGTTAACTATCTTGCTCTTATTCCAGCCAGGTATCTTTTTTGGAGAATTTAGTTTTTGGATTAGTGGTAATGAAAACTGTGCGAAGATGATGACTTCATAGCCGAATCTATGCGATTCGTACGTTCTTGTACTAATGCCAGTAGGTTTCCGATTAGAAATGACTTCGTTTATCGAGTTGAAATTTAGTTTGGAAAGAATCTAGAATCTTGTGATTACTTCGATTGTGAGTGAATTATTGTGATCTAGAGGCTTGTCTTGTGGGATTGATGGAAGTTGGTCAATAGTTTAGTTGCATTGCTTGGAAATGTTGTCATAATTGCAATGATTCTGTCGATTCCACTATTTGGTTTATTGGCCATACCATCCATGTACCGTTCTGCTCTTCTTCTGAATAGAATGCCTATGTTGATAGGAAGTAGCAACAGACCATCTGAGAAGCTACGCAGTCTACTGCTTTAGGGTGCCAATGGTTGTGTTGCAGGGGCCTGAGTGTACCATTTTGATATATAGTACTCCATTTTTTTTTTTTTTTTTTTTTTTTTTTTTTTTTTTTTTTTTTTTTTTT